CATGGTCATTATTCATAGCGATTTGGATGTTTGAATATCGATTCCGAGGAAATGCCTCATGAAGACATGACTTTGGAGGTAAAGTCAAAGAGGGCTGACGGTCCAGTTCCTGTTTTTAAGTGGTAAAGGTTTAAGAGAATATCGTAATAAACCATTTAAAGGGCCCATGCATAAGTAAAATGTAATATTGGCCGTAGAAAGATTACAAGAAATTGTATGATCAAAATAAAAGTAGAAGCTTAGAAATGAAGCAAGGCTATATTGACAAAGCGAAAAACAATACGAATACCTCGTAAGAATATAGTTACAACACAATTATAGCAATTATAAGTGTAAACAATCCTATTCAGACTTCAAATACATACCATCAAGGTAGCCTCTGAGAAGAAGAATAGCGTTTATCTTCGGATTATCTCGTGCACCCTTCTTGAAATCTACGGTAAAATGATCCACAGAAAGCACAGTAGATTCATCTTGAACGTATAGGTTTCCATTTAGAAATTTCAATTGAAACCGTTCATCATGAGCTGTGGCAAATCCAACACTTGCATAAATGTCCAGATTCTTGATTAGCGAGATATCATCATTAATTTTGACATCAAAAACCTGAATTGTTTTGAAAATACAATGTATATAAAAGTATATGGTCAAGGTGTTGTTTTGTGGAGGATTTAAAATGGAATTGCTGGCAGTGGTTGTAGTACTAGATTCAAAAAATAATTAGTGCCCGATGTTTTTCCGAATATGCTAGAGATAAACCAGAAATTGCTTTGAATCAATTTTTGACTCAAAATTTAGTGCATACACCACTAGCATGCACTTTATAAAGCAAAACAATAGCAAAAATGAAATAAGGCCTGCATAGAAAGCCAGTAGGATCAACTAATTAATTATCTGTTACCTTCTGACCGGGATCTCTGAACCAAACTTCTGAAAACTTCAGAACTAAGACATAATCCCCATCCGGCGGAACTGGAAGTTTATAGGAAAAGCTGTCAGTGCTATATCGTTCTGTCTGGTAAAGCCTGCGGTCCAATTCATTTACTCGCATAATAGCTAAGGAAAGTCCATGGCTGGATGCAATTCCAGTTTCAAGAGTATCTGGATCGTATGAAATACCGTTGCTATCAACATGAGCACCACCTCCACAATTTATGGCAAAGATTACATCGTACGTAGAACAAGTTCGGAAGGAAAGAAGTAGCACTACTGAAAAGAAGTGTAGACGCAATGGCATGTCAAATGAAAGCTTCAACAAGCAAGCATAAAAAATGCCTTCAAAAAAACGGAGAATAAATCTTTAATTTAATTTAGAAAACAAAAAATTAAAATGTTGAAGCAAAACTACGGCACATATATTTATATTTTATATGTTGTCATGAAAAAAAATTATCCAAATGTTATTCCAACTAAAACTTATTTTATTTTACTTAATATTTGCGTCGTTCATTGATCTGGTCCTTATCCTTTTTCTCACGATATGGGTCGGGCTTTTGGCATCGGTGTTATTTACCCCTTCATTAAGCGGATTTTCGTTTTGCCAAAAAGGACATTTTATGGCCATTTTGTGCTTGGCTTCGCCGCTGCATCCTTATTTTATAGTTCAAAAAGATTCTATGAGTTATCTGGTCTTCCTTCAACTAGTTCTGGCTTATGCCCACCTGAAAATATCTACCTTGCTAATGCTGGGTCGAGTGAAGAGGTACATGTTTTTTTATTTCTACATTTAGACAACCCACCTAAAATACTTTCTCTTATACGCTTCAATCGAAATTGGTGGGGAGTTTTATATGACGCCGCGCAACTTTATTGATTCTGTAATCGGATCTGAAAGAAGTAAGTTATGTGATATAGTCCGTCTTATTTTAAGATATATCCAAAACAGTGCTACTGTCCGAGAGTGAACGTGAAGTGATCCTAGTCAAGGCAGGAAAGGTTTCGAAAATTTCACCGAAATTTTTGGATACATTGGACGAATATGGGATTATTTCATTTTCTGAATATCTTTTTCTTCTTTCAATTCTTAGTCGTATGATGCACTTTTTAAAATTTTATCTTAGATCCTCAATCTTGCATCAAAACTATGTTTCAAGTGTTAGATAGAGACCGTACCCAGAAAGTTTCCTTTGAAGAATTCAAGATAGTACGTCATTTCATGTACTCATAAATATAGTTTACAAAAGCTATAATGAAAGGGAAAAGCATCAAAGACCTTGATGAGGCAGGTTTTCTACCTTATTTATTGGAATCAGTCCGTTATAAGGACAAATACATCACTCATGCGGATGCTTTTTGGTAAAAATGGAAAGGAAAGAATAACCTATAAAGATTTTGAAATGTAACTTCATTTACCATCGAATTTATTTTCATTTTCATATGGCATTCGTAATAATTATCTATTTGTATTAAGGTTTATTGTTAATTTTCAAGAAGAGATGTTATGGCATGAATTTAGTCATTACGCAAAAGGAAGAGAGCACATCACTTCATATGA